TACTTGCCATACAACCAAGTTCTGTCTACTTGGACAATGGGCTTACAGTAGGCGAAGCCACGTAGACACAGACAAAATGCCCAAAACAAACGATGAAATATTTGTTTTCCAGAGATTTGGGAACCATCACTTGATATCGCAGGTAGTGTTTGTAAATCTATAATGGTTCCTGGAAGGAAGGTTTTCATTACCAATATCCACTGCAATAGGTCGTTGCAAGATGTTTCTCAATTTCTATAAAGCGACTCTACCTCCTTGCACTTAGCGATCCACACCTTCCTATAAGATATAATGTACCCGTATTTTTTTAGGATATGGGCAATGATCACCTTTACTTTGAGTGAGGCGTCGCTGTTGACAAGTTCCTTGATGCTATGATTAGCCATTCCTGAACTGAGTTTCCTATGGTCTTGTGCCATAGACGTCGAACTGCATGTGTGAGACCCATAAAGCTTACCGATCACCCATTTCGAGTTCCTTTTTCTCAGGGAAGCTCTGCACTTGAAACCGCAGTCTTGTTTCTTACACTTAATGGCATATCGTTCATTGTCAGACTAATACACCCAATAGTCAACACTGTGTGTTATGTGCCAATGCTGCAGAGCGAGTATGCAAGCTTCCTTGTTTTCTAACTCCATCCCAATCTCTATTTCGTCACCTATATGGTTTTGAATAGGACATCCAAACACGGAGGTTGTATCGTCGTGTTCCTCATATATATTTTGCATGTGAGCAGGCGGGTTGTACAAACTTATGGGTTGTGCACGGATCGGCTGTACAACCATATCTTCATTGTCTTCGTCATCGCTGTCACCAAAAATATCTTGCATCTTGACCTTCTGAATATCGTCGTCGCTTGCTTCTCCAACCTCCTCATTTGGTATGAAAGGTAAGTTGTTTTGTGTTGGTTCGTCGTCGGATGTTTGGTTGTACCCGTACCAGTGTGACTGTGTCTCTTGCGTCGAAAATGTTTCGGGGTTGTCTAGTAGTCGGACATACAACTCAATTGTAGGTAACTGATCAAACATCATGTGGCACCGAAACATTGCCTTCACATCTTCGTCGTTCCTGATTGGCGTCATTAAATAAAAAATTGTACAGTCGTCTTCATTAAGTGTTGGATGACGGTAAATTATTTTCTCAACGCTTCGTGCCATTTTTTTCCATTCTATCTTTTAAATGGAAAAAATTAGAATTCACATGAATTTTGAAGGCGTATGTATCAGTGTTGCTGAACGAGAATCCAACAGGGCTATTTACTGAAACAACACCGTTGAAGTGGCATGTGAGAATTATGTTTCTCTGGGACACTTTGGAGTGTAAAATACAAGTTCTTGGTAGTGAATATTGATAGTAGAGTGTTTATGATGCATATATTCGTATACCAATAACTATATAAGAGAATAAGGAAACGAAGGGAAGACCTAGGTTAGTACATGCTCGTCCATTGCAAGGGTGTCCTAGGTTAGTACATGCTCGTCCATTGCAAGGACGAGTTTGTGTTTTAGTGTACATGCTCGTCCATTCCAAGGACGAGCTCGTGATGCTTTGTTATCCATGCACACGACATTTGTGTAAGACCTATGCAAGAGTGCTTTTGCATGCATGCACACCTTGAAGACTATGCAGAATAGGTTTGCATGCAATTGTCATTTCATGCAAAAATAGTTGATACATTTAAATTTTAATTGCATGCATGCACACAATTATTTTACTATAAATTTGGATTTCTACATCTATTTGTCTACTCAAATTTTCTACTTCCTCTACTCTTGCATTTCTACACAAGTTTTTTACTTACTCTACTCGCTTGCATTCGTAATACTCAATTAACATGTCGTTGTTGTGGATGGGCGAAGAACACCGTGGAACACAGCAAAATATCCAAGTTAGTGTAAGTTTTTCCTCTATTCGAGCGCATTAAAAAATAATGTCTCTAGTAGTTTGGTTAAATATTATTTAGTTGCAAAAATAGTGATATACATTTTGTTGGTTCAATGTTGTTGCAGGCAAATGCCCCAAGGTTTAGAGTGCATTCACATGCTCCTATTCAAGCGAGTGCGAGAATAATGGCGTATCTTGAGATAGTAGGTTTTGCAAATATATCAAAAATAAAAAGTCTAAAAATCGACTCAAGCTCAGTTGTGGCGCTGTTGGAGAAATGGAGACCGAAAACACACACTTTTTACCTCCCAACAGGTGAATGCACAATAACGTTTGAAGATGTGTATATGTTACTTGGTCTGCGAGTTGATGGAAAAGCTATCAACGGTCCCACCGAGGTAACAAACTACGTTTACATGGAAAACTTGGGGGTGGAACCTATAGAAGAGGATAAAATTAAAGGTTCTGTTAGGATCACCTGGCTAGAGGGTTTATATGAAACTTTAAAAAATAAATCTGCCCCCACCCAAGAAAAGTTCTGTTAGAAGCTAAAATTTATATTTTACTTGTAATTGCTACTATTTTGTTTCCTGACAAAAGTCAGAACCTATTGCATTCTTCTTAGATCCCTTTCGTATGGGATTTTCTTAAATGCGGCACCTATAGTTGGGGTTCTGCATGTCTGACAAAATCGTATCGAGAAATGTGCAAGGCAGCAGTCAAAGATGTTATGAGCATGAGTGGTTGTGCACTCCTACTAACTTCTTGGGCATTCACACGTATATCATTGTTCGCTCCTATCACTACAGTGGAACCCTCGTATCCATATGCACAAAGGTATTTCTTTATTAAAAAACTCATTTATGTGTACATAATATAAATATTTGTTATTCAACTATGTCTAACAATATTATTTTTTTTGTTATACAAGATGGGCGCAAAGAGGAATGATCTACACTGCAAATCTTCGTTTTCATCTCCAAGGATATCAAAACGCATTAGACCATATGCGAGAACACGATGTAAGTTTCAAACCACGTGGAAATAGTTGTCGGTTCTACTCCTTAATGGTATCTTAATTTTCTTTTTTGGGTGGCAGTTTATATGAAGACCGTACATTTAATATCTGGTGCCAAGTCTTGAAGATAGCCAAATCTGGAGTGCAACAACTTTCCTTATTTGTTTATATACCATTGAGATGCATCAAACGGATAGGGTAACACTCCAGTTTGGACTAGACCAACAAATCCCTCCCCCGCCAAGGTGTCTAAGGGAACACCACGCAATGACTATGAGAAAGGCACAAAAAGTTAATTTGCGAGAGTTAAACAAGGAGGAGGTGAGAGAATGGAGACACAGAAGATATGTGATTTTACAGGGGGACGTTGTGTTAGGTGAACGCAAGTCAAGAGTATTTAACTTGGTTTCGTGCCATTCCTTATGTGCACATTGCTCCAGACCAATTTTTGACCGACCCACGCATGCAAGGATCATCATCAACACAACCAATTGCGGCATCAATGCATCGGGATGTGCCACCAACTTACACATCTCAACATACATACCAACAAGAAACACCCAACAACCCACTCCATCAACAAAACTATAACTATCACTGCAACCAATAATATTAGCCCCAACACTAACTCCGACCACCCATACAATTCACCTCAGTCCCACCGCCAAACTTTAACCATTCTGACCCTCATTCCCAATATCAAACCTCCAACACAACCTACTCTCAACCCGCGTCGACCTTCAACACTACCTTAACTCAACCCACCCCGAACTTCACGCCTGATGACGTCTACTACCCATCCTTTCAACAAACCCAACCCGAAACCTACTCGTAACCACCACACACATTCCAAATTTTTTTGCTGACAGACGAGCAATTGATGCACATGCCAGATTTTAACATTGATGATCTTCTCGATGAGCAACCAAGACCCTCTTCACGGCAGGCAAACCCCCTACAACACATCACAATGAAGACATGTCTTCCGACTCATCTCAATCACCTATAAATGAGCGTTTGGGCAGGGGATATAGACAGTGAAGGATCCCTAGGTGTGGAACTGGGGGTTATATTCGATGAAATGTATTTTTGTTTTAATCAATTTTATTGTTGAAGCTTAATCTTGCAATGTTAAAATTATTTACATTTTTATATTTATTAATTAGTATTTTATAATTAAATTATTTATAAAATGTAATTTAAATTTTTAAAAATTTAATGTTAATAATTTTTAAAAAATTTAATTATAAAATACTAATTAATAAATATAAAAATGTAAATAATTTTAACATTGCAAGATTAAGCTTCAACAATAAAATTGATTAAAACAAAAATACATTTCATCGAATATAACCCCCAGTTCCACACCTAGGGATCCTTCACTGTCTATATCCCCTGCCCAAACGCTCATTTATAGGTGATTGAGATGAGTCGGAAGACATGTCTTCATTGTGATGTGTTGTAGGGGGTTTGCCTGCCGTGAAGAGGGTCTTGGTTGCTCATCGAGAAGATCATCAATGTTAAAATCTGGCATGTGCATCAATTGCTCGTCTGTCAGCAAAAAATTTTGGAATGTGTGTGGTGGTTGCGGTGGTTGCGAGTAGGTTTCGGGTTGGGTTTTTGAAAGGTTGGGTAGTATACGTCATCAAGCGTGAAGTTCAGGGTGGGTTGAGTTAAGGTAGTGTTGAAGGTCGAGGCGGGTTGATAGTAGGTTGTGTTGGAGGTTTGATATTGAAAATGAGGGTCGATATGGTCAAAGTTGGGCGGTGGGACTGGGGTGAATTGTATGGGTGGTCGGAGGTAGGGTTGGGGCTGATATTGTTGGTTGTAGTGGTAGTTATAGTTTGGTTGATTGAGTGGATTGTTGGGTGTTTCTTGTTGGTATGTATGTTGAGATGTGTAATTTAGTGGCACATCCCGATGCATTGATGTCGCAGTTGGTTGTGTTGATGATGATCCTTGCATGCGTGGGTCGGTCAAAAATTGGTCTGGAGCAATGTGCACATAAGGAATGACACGAAACCAAGTTAAATACTCTTGACTTAGCTTGCGTCACCTAACACAACGCCCCCTGTAAAATCACATCTCTTATGTGTCTTCAGTCTCTCACCTCCTCCTTGTTTAACTCTCGCAAATTAACTTTTTGTGCCTTTCTCATAGTCATTGCGTGGTGTTCCCTTAGACACCTTGGCGGGGGAGGGATTTGTTGGTCTAGTCCAAACTGGAGTGTTACCCTATCCGTTTGATGCATCTCAACGGTATAGAAACAAATAAGGAAAGTTGTTGCACTCCAGATTTGGCTATCTTTAAGACTTGGCACCGGATATTGAATGTACAGTCTCCATATAAACTGTCACACAAAAAAGAAAATTAAGATACCATTAAGGAGTAGAACCGACAACTATTTCCACGTGATTTGAAACTTACATCGTGTTCTCGCATATGGTCCAATGCGTTTCGATATCCTTGGAGATAAAAACGAGGATTTGCAGTGCAGTTCATTCCTCTTTGCGCCCATCTTGTATAACAAAAAAAAATATTGTTAGACATAGTTAAATAACAAACATTTATATTACGTACACATAAATGAGTCTTTTAATAAAGAAATACCTTTGTGCATATGAATACGAGGGTTCCACTGTAGTGACAGGAGCGAACAATGGTATACGTGTGAGTGCCCAAGAAGTTAGTAGGAGTGCACAACCACTCATGCTCCTAACATCTTTGACTGCTGCCTTGCACATTTCTCGATACAATTTTGTCAGACATGCAGAACCCCAACTATAGGTGCCGCATTTAAGAAGATCTCATACGAATGGGATCCAAGAAGAATGCAATAGGTTCTGACTTTTGTCAGGAAACAAAATAGTAACAATTACAAGCAAAATATAAATTTTAGCTTCTAACAGAACTTTTCTTGGGTGGGGGCTGGTTTATTTTTTAAAGTCTCATATAAACCCTCTAGCTAGGTGATCCTAACAGAACCTTTAATTTTGTCTTATTCTATAGGTTCCACCCCCAAGTTTTCCATATAAACGTAGTTTGTTACCTCGGTGGGACCGTTGATAGCTTTTCCATCAACTCGTAGACCAAGTAACATATACACATCTTCAAGCGTTATTGTGCATTCATCTGTTGGGAGGTAAAAAATGTGTGTTTCCGGTCTCCATTTCTCCAACAGCACCACAATTGAGCTTGAGTTGATTTTTAGACTTTTTATTTTTGATATATTTGCAAAACCTGTTATCTCAAGATACGCCATTATTCTCGCACTCGCTTGAATAGGAGCATGTGAATGCACTCTAAACCTTGGGGCATTTGTCTGCAACAACATTGAACCAACACAATGTATATCACTATTTTTGCAACTAAATAATATTTAACCAAACTACTAAAGACATTATTTTTTTAATGCGCTCGAGTAGAGGAAAAACTTACACTAACTTGGATATTTTGTTGTGTTCCACGGTGTTCTTCGCCCATTCACAGCAACGACATGTTAATTGAGTATTACGAATGTAAGAGAGTAGAGGAAGTAAAAAACTTATGTAGAAATTCAAGAGTAGAGGAAGTAGAAAATTTGAATAGAGAAATAGATGTAGAAATCCAAATTTATAGTAAAATGATTGTGTGCATGCATGCAATTAAAATTTAAATGTATCAACTTTTTTTTTGCATGAAATGACCATTGCATGCAAACTTATTCTGCATAGTCTTCAAGGTGTGCATGCATGCAAAAGCACTCTTGCATAGGTCTTACACAAATGTCGTGTGCATGGATAACAAAGCATCACGAGCTCGTCCTTGGAATGGACGAGCATGTACACCAAAACACAAACTCGTCCTTGCAATGGACGAGCATGTACTAACCTAGGACACCCTTGCAATGGACGAGCATGTACTAACCTAGGTCTTCCCTTCGTTTCCTTATTCTCTTATATAGTTATTGGTATACGAATATATGCATCATAAACACTCTACTATCAATATTCACTACCAAGAACTTGTATTTTACACTCCAAAATGTCCCAGAGAAACATAATTCTCACATGCCACTTCAACGGTGTTGTTTCAGTAAATAGCCCTGTTGGATTCTCGTTCAGCAACACTGATACATACGCCTTCAAAATTCATGTGAATTCTAATTTTTTCCATTTAAAAGATAGAATGGGAAAAAATGGCACGAAGCGTTGAGGAAATAATTTACCGTCATCCAACACTTAATGAAGACGACTGTATAATTTTTTATTTAATGACGCCAATCAGGAACGACGAAGATGTGAAGGCAATGTTTCGGTGCCACATGATGTTTGATCAGTTACCTACAATTGAGTTGTATGTCCGACTACTAGACAACCCCGAAACATTTTCGACGCAAGAGACACAGTCACACTGGTACGGGTACAGCCAAACATTCGACGACGAACCAACACAAAACAACTTACCTTTCATACCAAATGAGGAGGTTGGAGAAGCAAGAACGACGATATTCAGGAGGTCAGGATGCAAAATATTTTTGGTGACAGCGATGACGAAGACATTGAAGATATGGTTGTACAGCCGATCCGTGCACAACCCATAAGTTTGTACAGCCCGCCTGCTCACATGCAAAATATATATGACGAACACGACGATACAACCTCCGTGTTTGGAAGTGTTATTCAAAACCAAATAGGTGACGAAATAGAGATTGGAATGGACTTCGAAAACAAGGAAGCTTGCGTACTCGCTCTTCAGCATTGGCACATAACACACAGTGTTGACTATTGGTTGTATCAGTCTGACTATGAACGATATGTCATTAAGTGTAAGAAACAAGACTGCGGTTTCAAGTGCAGAGCTTCCCTGAGAAAAAGGAACTTGAAATGGGTGATCGGTAAGCTTTCTGGGTCTCTCCCATGCAGTTCGACGTCTATGGCACAAGACCATAGGAAACTCAGTTCAGAAATGGCTAGCCATAGCATCAGGGAACTTGTCAACAGCGACGCCTCACTCAAAGTAAAGGTGATCATTGCCCATATTCTAGAAAAATACGGGTACATTATATCTTATAGGAAGGCGTGGATCGCTAAGTGCAAGGCGGTAGAGTCGCTTTATGGAAATTGGGAAACATCTTACAACGACCTACCGCAGTGGATACTGGTAATGAAAACCTTCATTCCATGAACCATTATAGATTTACAAACACTACCTGCAATATCAAGTGATGGTTCCCAAATCTCTAGAAAACGAATATTTCATCGTCTGTTTTGGGCATTTCGTCCGTGTATACGTGGCTTCGCCTACTATAAGCCCATTGTGCAAGTAGACGGAACTTGGTTGTATGGCAAGTACAGAGGAACTCTATTGATGGCGGTGGCACAAGATGGCAACGCAAATATTTTCCCAATAGCATTCGCATTGGTCGAAGGTGAAACAAATGAAGCGTGAAGCTTTTTTCTGAGGAACCTGAGATTACACGTGACACCACAGCCGAATTTGTGTCTAATATCTGATAGACACGAATCGATAAAGAGTGCATACAACAATCCCGAAAACGGATGACAACATTCACCATCTTCACATGTTTACTGCATAAGACACATCGCTCAGAACTTCATGCGCGAGATTAAGAACAAGGATCTACGCAAAAAAACTTGTTAACATGGGTAACAAAATAAATTTCACTTATCTTAAGTTTCGTAGCACACTTTTATCATTTTTTCACACAATTTTTCTTACAGGTTACACATTGACGGAGGCTACATTTAAATACTATCTCGGAGAAATCAGAAGAACAAACATTGAAGCTTCAAATTGGATAGACAACATTCCTAGGGAGAAGTGGGCTAGAGCATTTGACGGAGGGCAACATTGGGGACATATGACATCTAACTTGGCAGAGACCACAAACTCTGTACTAAAAGGCAAACAAGAAACCTTCCAATCACTGCATTGGTCTAGTCTACATACTATTGAATGGGTTCGCTCTTTGGTAAAAGAGGACACAAATGTACCAAAATGTTATCTTCAGGGAAAGTTTTTACAGATGGTTGTAACAAAGGCATGGCTGATGAGGTAGCTAATGCTAACACACACAACGTCATGCAATTTGATCGCGAAAGATTCTGCTTCATAGTGCAAGAAAAGATTAATTACAACGACGGTCGTCCAACGGGTACTTTCAGCGTTGACTTACGGAATCGTTTGTGTGACTATGGAAAATTTCAAGCATTTCACTTGCCTTGCTCCCACGTGATAGCGGCATGTTCTAGCATACGACAGTACTACACAATTCACATTTCAGAGGTCTTCAAAATTCTTAACGTATTCAAGGTCTACAAGGAAAGCTTCCTAGGACTACCGCACGAGGAGAACTGGCCAAAATATGAAGGTTTTACTTTGTGCCACGACGATTCCATCAGGAGAAATAAAAAAGGGCGTCCAAAAAGTAGTAGAATTATAACTGAGATGGACGACGGAGAAAAAGAGAAGAGAAAGTGTGGGATTTGCTGAGAAATAGGTCATATGCGTAGAAAATGTCTCAATGTTGCCGGTCCGTCAAACCGACCGAATAGATAATTTTATTGTACTACTTTTGTATGTGATCCATCAATTCTTTTTAATTCAAAACAACTTTCAAATGACAACAATATCAACGAACTACAAACATAAGGTGGATCTGTGACTCCACAAACTCAAAAATAAAACTCATGAAGCTAACATAAACTCTAACAAACAACAGCGACCAACACAAGTGGATTAATGACTCCTCTGTTGACTTCGCCACTGTGTGCTGAAAACATGCAATGGACATCTTCATCATTTTCTATGCGATCTAGGTAGTACATGTACGTCCCCTCCGGGCTAGCATCAGTAAGCGTTGTATATGGACAACGATACTCCATTTTTCTCACTGTCACGCGACGACCGCCCAGCTGTCGAAACTTGGTGTTAATTGTTGCAACCACGGTTCTGAAATTCCACAGCGGATCTAAGTAAACACTGATTTTTTTCTCTAGTCCATAGAAAACAAGAGCTTGGACAGGCATTTTTATAAATCGGATAAGTTGTCACAAATGATATTTGCTGATGCGCAATACGCTTATTTATAAAAAAAATTACGTTTGATCTCGATCATTCAATGACCGAGAGTCTGTAAAAAATTCACACCTCCATGTGCGAACATCAGTAATTATTTTTTATTTCATATACAGTAAAATATTATTAAATTAATTTAATATATAATACTTTTTTAATGTACTGTAAAATAGTTTAATACTAAATTACTTTAATAAGATTAAAATTAACAATTTAATAATTAAAATTAAAATTGTTATTTTATTATTAATTATATAATTTATTAGTTAATGTATTAAAATATATATTTAGTAAAATAAATAAATAAAACTGGAAAAAAATTAAAAAAATAAAACTAAGAAAAAAATAAAAAAATAAATAAAACACAACACACGCTTGTCCATCCATTGGACGAGCTCATATGGGCCAAAAAACAACGCACAAGTTCGCTCATCCAAATGACGAACTCACAAGCCCAAATTTTTCCTTCACAAGTTCGCCATTTCATTGGACGAGCTTATATAGAAAGTAGGGTATATTGGTAAATATTTTTCAAAACGGGGTATTACAGTATTTTTTAATTCAAAACGAGGCAGAACAGTGAAAAATCCAAGATTGGGTCATGTTAGCAAAAGAGACCTGGTTGAATTGGGGAAGCAGAACCTGCTAGGAAGTGACAAAGTCGAAAAGTTAGAGTTTTGTGAATCTTGTGTATTTGGTAAATCCTGTAGAACGAATTTTAACAAAGGCAAACAAAGAACATGGATCCTTGGATTGCATTCATGTTGATCTTTGGGGGCCTGCAAGGTATATTTCATCCATCGTTGATGACTATTCCAGAAAGTTATAGGTATTTATCCGGAAAACGAAGGATGAAACTTTTGAGAATTTCAAAAGTTGGAAGGTTCTAGTCAAAACTCAAACGAGTAGAAAGGTTAAGAGGTTGAGAAACGATAATGGTCTTGAACTCTGCAACAAAGGGTTCAACAATTACTGTGTTGAGTCTAGAATTGCAAGGCATAAGACTGTAGCAGGTACTCCTCAACAAAATGGCTTAGCTGAGAGATTCAAACCTAAGAATAGGTAAAACAGGGAAAGAAAGTGTCCACAGGAAAGTAGGGTCTGACAGCAAGACACCTACGTGGAATGTGGCGTAAGGTAAGGGAATGGCAAGCTAGATTATCCTAAATGATATTGCAGTCAATAAGAGGGATCATTTCCTTTAGAATGAGGTATGAGAAATATAGGGGCGAAAAGGAAAACCTCAAGTATCAAGAATAAAATGAACAACAACATATATACAGCAAGTGCAAGAGTCAAATGAGAAACTGACTACCAGGAATTAATAAAAATAGGAAAATGTCAAAATAAATTAGAAATAAAGTCTAAACAAACAAAAACCTTATTAAAACTAAAAAGATTAAAACCTAATTAAGAAGTTAAATAAGTAAAACTAATTCATTAATTCTAATAGAACAACTAATTAACTATTTCTAAAAAAATAAACTAAATAACTAAAATAATTTCTAATCTAAAATTAAATTAGTTCTAATACCTAATTCTAATTTTAATTAAAAACTAAATGAACTAATTCTAATTCTAAAACTAATTCTAAAGTTAAATTAAAATTAAAACTAAATGATTAAATCTTAATTAACTTAAAATTCTAACTAAGCAAAATTTCTAATTTAAAAACTTAACTAAATCTAAAGCTAAAACTATTTAGTAAAAAAAACTATTTAATTAAAACTAAGATTTAATTAAATTTATTAACTAAATTGTTTTTAACAAAGATATTAACTAAAGTATTAACACAATAATTTAAAAGAGAAAATCTAAATTAAAAAAGATAAAATATATTTTTTAACAAAATAAAAAGACATATTTTAAATAAAATTAAAGTCACATTTTAAAAAAATTAAAGACACATTTACATAAAATAAAGACACACATTTAACAACAAAATTAAAGACATATTATTAAACAAAATAATGACATTTATAAAAAAAATAAAGACATATTAATAAACAAAATAGTCTACATATTTTAAATTCTAAATCAAAATATTAGTCGGGAAAAAAACCAATTAAATAATATATTTTTGAGATTTAATTTAACAAATAAATACTTAAACTAAAAAAAAAGAATATCAAAAATGCTCTTTGTGGGATTTATTTTTTCTTAATATCTAAATGAGAAACTTTCAGAAAATAAATAAATAGATAAGAGGTTAAAAGTATGTTTTGTTTTATCTTTTGATATATTAATTGAAATATTTACAACACGAAACTCCTTTTACAAATTCAAAAACAGAATCGAGATAAAAATAAATTAATTATTACTATTTAATATAAAAAATTATATTAAAACTAACTCAAAATAATAACTATATAAATAATTAAAAAAAAAAAAGAGAAAAAGATATGTCACCCTCACAAGAATTAAATCTAACCAACTAACTTAACATAAACATAAACATAATAATAATAATAATAATAATAATAATAATAATAATAATAATAATAATAATAATAATAATAATAATAATAATAATAATAATAATAATAATAATAATAATAATAAATATAAACATAAACAACATAAACATAAACATAATAACATAAACATAATAACATAAACATAAACATAATAATAAACATAAACATAAACATAATAACATAATAACATAAACATAATAATAATAATAATAATAATAATAAACATAATAATAATAATAATAATAATAATAATAATAATAATAATAATAATAATAATAATAATAATAATAATAATAATAATAATAATAATAATAAAAAGAAAACAAGTTCTGGTTAACAGTATTATTATTATTATTATTATTAAAACAATAACCAAAAATAATAAAAAGAAAACAAGTTCTGGTTAACAGTATATGAAAAAAACACATTTTCCCTAACAGTATTAAACACACTAAAAAAGGTAATTTAAAACAATCAATTAATTACAAAATAAAAAAAGTATAATAACAAAGTATTATATGATACTTAGAATTTTTTTTTTAAAGTAGCAATGTTATAGTTTTTATTTATCAAACAAATTATTGTTTCAAAAATATTACCAATGTAGCA